TGCACAGGGGTCTATGATTCTCCTAATTGATGGTACCTTCAATGTCAGTGAGAACATCTGGGGTACAGACAATACAGGGCAAAGCTTCCTTTGGTTTTATTTTCTCTTTTAAAATTCCCAGTTTTCCAGAAAACTCAGTTAGAACCCTTCCTCAGACATCCTACCTACCAGAGGAGTTTGAAGTACATAGCAGGAATGAGATTAGAGTTGACATCACAGCCAGAGGCCAGACAATGTTTGTCCCAGCCTAACTGTCTTTGGGTCCATTTATCTCCCCTCAGAATAATTTATTTTATCTTTCAAATAGTATCTTCATTGCTTCTAAATCTCTCCAGGTAGTTACCCAACAGTGAACAGACACCGCCCCTATGTGTATAATAAATGTGTGTTTCTCTTGCTGATGGATATATTATCAGTTCTTTCCTGAGACTCATTAATGAACGTTAGTGGGCCAGAGGGAGGGTTCTCTTGCTTCTACCCAGAGTACAGTTTAAAGAACAGTGTACGCCTGCTGGCCATGTCCTCTGCTCCCTTCACAGTCACTCAGCTGGCGTGATGCAGGGTACAGGCTGGGTGATTACTCGACAAGCTTATCTGGAGGCTGGTTATCTAAATGGGGTCCCTCTGGAGCTCCTAGAATTTGTGGAGTGGGGTTGTGTCATAGGAAATGCATGCTTGGCTGCTGCTCACAGCCAGAGAGGGAGGGTGTGAAAGTGCCTGGCTGAAGCCATCTCAGGCCGCTGCTTGGGACAAGAGGCTAGTGGCAAGGCTGCAAGAGCACCATCCAGGCACAAGGAGCCCTGATCTGACGGCTGGTTGGTCTAGGAGAAAAAGCCAAGGGTATTAATGATTTGTAGACTCCTCCTCTTTAAGAGATCAAAACAAAGCAAATCAGAACCCCCAAGACCCCTAGAGCTACCCACCCCACCTGAAGCTGATTTTTCCCAGAAATATTATTTATATGGAGTCTGAAATTTAGAAATCTATCTCCCCTATAACCCAAGAACCCACCTGCAGCTCAATGGGTAAAGCTAGTTAAAACATTTTTTTTTTCAAGACAGGGTTTCTTTGTGCAACAGTCCTGGCTGTCCTGGAATTTGCTTTGTAGACCAGGCTGACCTCCAACTCACTGAGATCCATCCGCCTCTGCTTCCCAAGGGCTGGGATGAAAGGCGTGTGCCACCACAGCCTGGCTAGTTTTAATTTTATTCTGTTCAAGAATTAGACCATTTACCCTACTCTGACAGCACCATGGCTCCCCAGACTCAGGAATCAGCAGATGCTTTAGGAAGATATATGGATGTCCCACTTGGAAACTGACATTTTTTTTTGTCCTTGTTTTTTTCTTTTTTTTTCTCTTCCCAATTATTTGTTGTGACAGGGACAAAGGAATACAGGAAGGAAGGGCACGGCTTTTTGCTGACCCTGCCCATCTCCAACAAGCCTCAGGACATCTCCACGCATTTATTCGAGACCCTTTGACTATATGATCTGCCTTCCTGACTGATGTGTCACAGCCGCAACGGGAGGGAGGAATTTACCTCAAGTTGTCTAAAAAGAGAACGGGTGCACGTGCACACTTCCTGTCTTCTCCCCCTAGCGTCTCAGAGATACCGCGTGACCTCTGAGCTCTCAGCGTTACTGTGAGGCAGCAAGCAAGAAAGGAAAAGGCAGACAGTCACGTGAGGTAGATGGGCTCAGCCCCTCCCCCCTTCAGATGCAGGAGCTGGTGAGTGGGGAGGGCTGCTTCTACGATGCCTCAGCTGTTAAACTGATGGAATGCCTCAACCTCTTCATTTCTTGTCATCTTTCTATTTGATCATTAGCCCAGCTGCCCAGGAGCTGACAGGGCAAGGAGACAAGTCTGAAACAAGCAAGCGTGTCCCCGGGAGAGTAGACAGACACGATTTGACAGGATAATGTCCTCACTTGATAAACGGAGGGACTCCCTGCCTGCCCGTGTCCTCCCTGCAATTCAGTCCTGGCAATCTGACTTCTCAGAGCACTTGGACAGCTAGCTAAGCATTTCCTGACCGCTCCCACCCTCCAGTTGCTGAGGGTGACCGACAGTTAAATGCATGTCTGCTTACTTCCTAGTCTAAAGGTTGTTCGCACTCCAGACTTGGGCCCTGGAAGTAGCAACCACAGGGGAATGGTTTGAGATGCTAGGGAAATTCCTGCCTCCCTGCTTTCTCTCCAGCCGGTCACAGTCACATCTCACTGTCATTCAAATTGTCTGCATGGTGCTTAACTTTTTCTAGAGGGGGTCTTTTGTTTTGTTTTGTCCCTTTATAATGATATATATATATAATATATATGTATGTGTGTATATATATATATATATATATATATATATATATATATATATAGTCTTTTTCTAACAAAACTTTATTGCATTTATGTTAGGTCTCAAACCCAGGACACAGGCTAACTGAGGTACTACTAACATACCAAAGCGACTGCTGTCTGCTTCACTGTGGTCTGTCTTTCCCAGCATTGACAGTCCCAGGCTCCCTACCCTAAACTCCTCCAGCCTAGGGAAGTGGACTGGGCTGTCCTTGCCTAGCTTCTCTTCCCTGTACATGGGAAAGGAGGGGGAAACTGTGGTTGGTATGTGAAATAAGTAAATTTAAAATAAAAAGCAAAATTTAAAAACAAAAGTAAGAACCCCAGCCATTTTGGCTACAAGGCCCTTTTGGCCCTTTTGTGGGAAATTGCCCTCTTGGCAGTTGTCCCTGGTTCTCCTGTTTCCTGCTCCCTCTCCCACCCCCCTCCTCTCCTCACAAGGCCCATTCAGTTGGCAGCTCATGTTCAGTCTGAGCCCTTCCAGATACCTGAGGCTATGCTCTCCCTTTGATCTACAATAAACCTCCCCATCACTGAGCAGTCAAGTCCTCCTTCTCTTTCTTCATTCAATTTATAGCGTACTTCAGTGGGATGTTGGATCCATAGCACACAAAACTGTTAGCTATTCATACTTCAGCATAAATTATTGTAGGACCTTTGTCTCTGATGAGCTACCTTTTAAAAAAGAATACATATGTGTGTGTGTGGGCATATATACATACATATATATATGCCCATATACACACAAATTTTATAATATATCATATATATTATAAAATATATTTGTTATTGTATATGTATTGTAAAATTTCAAATGCTGGAAGTATAAAGTAACATTAGAAAAGTCTAGAGACTCAGTGAGTTGCCTGGGAAGGAAAATGTTATTGTTCTAAGCTCAGGTGACAGGGGCCTGTGAATTAAACTAACAAAAGTCCAGTTAATAGGGGGAAAGGGATGCGATTCACTAACGTTTATTTGTCTGGAAGTTTATAGAAAAGAAGAGAAATTCAAAGAGGCAGCTGGAACTTTTGTGAAGGAAGGAAATGGGTTGAGGTCAAAGAAAGGGTGACTTGTGGGAATCTGACTAGATGTTGTGGGCAGGCACTGATGGACAAGATCAGCTGTTCATGGATGCCCACTTACCTGCCATCTCCTATCTCCAGCAAGATTTTCAGGCAGATGAGGCGGAAACTAAGGTTTTGTCCCAAATATTTCCCCTTCCTCCTCCCTACACATTTTGATTCTACTTTGTAATCAACTCAAAGTAACACTTTTGCCAAAACGGTACTTTTGAGGCAGCTGTGTGTGATGGGGTGTTGTGCTGTAGCTAAGAGAAAGGACTTCCATGAAAGGCTAGCAAACTTGATTCTCTACAAAACAGTGTCACCCCTTTAGCTGCCCTCTACCCCGAGCAACCCTGTTGTAGTAATCAACCTTTGTTGGCTGTAACATCATGAGTGGCCACCATGAAGCACAATTCCCAGTTGGGGTTGAAGATGGAGGTTTCTTGTTCCGCCTTCTTCCACAGCTGCTTCAGCCCCAAATAAACACACAGACGCTATATTAACTTATAAAACTGTTGGCCGATGGCTGGGCTTTTTAATTGGCTAACTCTGTCTTAATTATTAACCCATTTCTACTAATCGAAGTATTTCCACATGGTCTTATCTTACCAGAAAAGGGTCCATGCCTGTTACTGCTTCCTCCCCTATGTGGTATCTTCTCTTGGCACCTCTCTGTCTCTCTCCCGAGCATTCTCCTCGGCCCTGCCTGCCTTCCTGCCTCTACTGGCTATTGGCCAAACAGTGTTTTATTCATCAACCAATAAGAGAAACATATATACAGAAGGACGTCCCCCATCAAAGGGCTGTTATCATTGAATGAATAAAGGGAGGTTCATTAGACACTCACCTAAGAGTCCAGTTCAATGTCTCCTGTTCCCAAGCTGCAAGTAGTTTTAGGGGTGGGGCTAGAATATTTAGGAACTGGAAAGGTGACTTGGGGTTGGGCCTCTGCAGTGGTACCTCTTGCATGGATTGTCACCCGGTTGGGGTGGCACTCGTGATGCTATCAATGGCCTATGAGACACCCATTCCCATAATGCAACAAACTGTCATCTAAACAAGGACTCATCCAAAATGGGCCCTGCTGTGGGTGATAGTGTAGGCGACTGAGGTTGAGCCATTTCAGGGAGAAGGGAGTAGAAAAGGTGAAGGGGGAAGCAGGCAACAGCGTGGGTCCCTCAGATGCTAATGTGGCAAGATTTGCGTTGGTCCAGCGTTCCCAAGGAAGCAACTGACAAATGCCCAGATTCTGTGCTGTCAGCCTCAGAAAGGCTTCAAATCCCAAACAGCGGCTCGCAGAAAGGGTGCACAATAGGGATGTGCAGGCAGACGAGCCTTCAGATGAGCATTGTTTTAAGTGCCAAACATTAAAAAGAAATTGAACCAGGCAGGTATAGCCTGCATTCTCAGGAAGTTGTGGTAAGCAAGCAAACGGGTAGTGACATCATTTCATGGCACCCATGAGGAAGATGAATGGGATGATACACTCCTGGGTCGGGGGTGGGGGGTGGGGGCGGGGGCGTGAAGGGGTGAGAGTGGGATGGGGCAGGGGCTGACTGGTGGGTGGGTTGTGACATTGGTTGGGGCCACTGGACTTACAGAGTACAGAGGCTTGACTTAGAGCTTGGTGGCTTTCCTAGCTCACCCACATTGCCAGCAGGGGCTCTGGGTTCCAAGCCATCTCTGTTGGAATTACAGATGGGAGTGGTGGCGTGGCAAGTTCTCCTGGTTCAAAGGGAAGCCACATGCGTTTTCTGGATTGGCGTCTGCAGTCCTGGAGCAGCGCCAGCGCACCTGCACTGTGAGGTCCCCCGCCACTCTCCCTTCTCTCCTGGGGTTACCAGGGACTTCACGGGAAGCATTTCTCCTAATCCTCTCTGGAAATGTCCCTTGGAACATTTCCCTATTCTGTTTGTACAAGGATCACACTAGAACCAAACTTTCTGAAGGTCTCTCTTGACTGATGAACTACTAGTTGGGGGGGGGAGGGTGGAGGTATGACTCTGTCAAATAATAGAAGTATTTCTCTTCCAGGTTAACCGGTTGACCTGACTTGTCAGAAGAACGCCCTTTTCAAAGACAAATCTATGAAATTCCATTTCTTGGGGGGGGGACAAGATCCTGGATTTTCACCGAGGATTGTAAATGTCAACTGCCCGGCTCCCACTGCTGGCTGGAATGGCCACCACTGTCTACCCTCCCGAGTTCATTGCATCGACCCATCCAACACATGTGGGGATTCTGCTCTTTGTTAACCGAAGTCATGCCCCTCTTACCTGTCTTCCTTCCTTTTTCTGCTGTGAACACTTGCAGCTTTTCAAGGTTGTGATGAAGTGTTGACCCCTCCCCTTGTTTCCCTGGGATGCTCTGAGCCTGCCTTTCTGTGACTGGTCCCTGGAAGGGAGGACTGAGATTCCTGGGAGGCAGGATGAGAGCAGGTACACAAGGGGCCTGGGTAGAGAGAGCAACTGCAGTGGGTTCCTTTTCATACAACTGGGACTTGACCCAAGGAAGCAAAATAATTGCCAGTAAAAGCTAACATCATCGGCGTGATGTCTTTGACCACTGCTTCTTTAGGATCTAAGGCACAGTGGGTGTTAAGCAGATTTGTACTGGAGGCCCCTTGCAACAAGTTACCTCTAGTGACATTCTTTTAGGTCCCTTTCTCACTGCTGGGGATTGTCTCTGAGGAAAGGGGTGAGGAGAGAAGTGGAGGAGGAAGGCCAGGCTCGGGGTTCCTGGCTGTGGCTGACGTCCCTTCCTCCAGCTGCTGAGCGCTTTGTGAGTGATGAATGATACAGAAGCATGCCTCCCGCAGCCAGCTGGCCCCACACCAGGTCTTTGTAAATGCCAGCCAGAGGCGGCGTTGGTTGCCTGCCAGGCTGGAGACTGTAGGGGCACGTCTTGGGTTCTCAGCCCTCACATGGAGCTCTCCCCAACTCACAGCGGTGGCAGCCCTAGACCTGGGTTGATGACTTCTTTGTACCTTTCCTCAGAGCTGCTTCGCAGGCAGGCTTTGCCTACTCGGCTCCCTCAGCCTGTGTGTTTGCTTTGGCAGACTCCTTTCTCCTCCACTCTCATCTCTTTGATCCCAATATTCTCTTCCACTGCTTGCCTCTTGTCCCTGGAGGAACAGAACATGTGCTTTGGAAGAACTAGCTAGAAGATGGGGCAGATCACTTAATGTGGGTCTACATTAACTGAGTTGTGTGCCTTAAAATCTGCTGTCATTTTCCTCAGATTTCTTCCCCTGAACCAGTCTGAGAAAGACAACTGACAGGCATAAGAGACTCGGGGCAGTAACATAGAGAGTGTCACTGTTTCCCTGCTTTGATGATGTGTATGTGTTTTCATAGTTCACTCTGCATTGGAGAGGTAAGTATTTTTCTTATAACTGAGACATGGAACACATTGACAGTTTATTTTTTTGAGAAAAAGTTTTGCTATGTAGCTAAGGCTGGTCTCAAACTCAGGATCTGGTTTCAGCCCACCAAGCACTGGGATTACAGGTCTATTACCACACCCATCTAATTGCCTGTGGTTTTTCTCTTCATTCTCATTTTCTCTCTCTCTTGGCAGTGTCTCATGTAGCCCAGGCTGGTTTCAAACTCACTAACTAGTTGAAGATGACCTTGGACGCCCAGTGGATAACACAGAGATGACGGATACAGCACAGAACCCCATGCATGCTAAGCCACTGAGCCACGTTCTTGGACTGGTTTTGCTTTTTTTCTCGGGAGTGGGCAAAACAATGTGTTTCTACCATTAGATGGAATATTAGATGAAATACAGTGGCTGGCTATTTGGGCCAGAAAATGTCCCAATTTATTTCCCCAGGGTTTTGATTTTAGTGCTTTGTGTGTGTGTGTGGGGGGGGGCTTGGTATTACAGATGAATCCATGGGAAAAGTTTGTCTTTATTTTTTATTTCATTTTTGGGTATCTGTGGAAACTGTGCATGTGTAGAGTCATAGGACATCTTACAGGAGTTGGTTCTCTCCTTACACTGAATAGGTCCCAGGGGTTGAACTCAGGTTGTCAGATTTGAAGGCAGATGACTTTACTCACCAATTTATTTTCCCAGCTTGAGAAAAGTGTCTTTATAATCAAATTATTTTGAAATGCGTACCTACCTAGTCATCATAATAATGATTTGGAATATGTGGGGTAGATTTCCACAAAGGAAGAGAGGTACAGGTCTGGACAGCCTGGTTCTGTTTGGCTCTAAGTGGCTGTAAGACCTGGGGTAGGTCACCTCATTGTGACTGGGACCTCTCCTTTCTCCCTGTAACATGATGGGGAAGAGTGGGCCTCTGGAAAAGGTGTTGGTTTTCTTTCTACCCCTGTGAATTGTTATTCAGAGTCACAGACGCGATTAGTCTTCTTCAGAGAGCCCTTATGTCATAAGGAGCCATGAGAACTTGTCACGATGGGTTAGCTCACTGGCCTCTTTGAGCCCATGGTCTCATAACGTAAGTACAAGAGGCACTGAGTGACCCTGGGCTGCCTGTTTGCTGTGATTGGAGCTGTGTCCCTCCCTCAAAAGTCAAAGTCTTCAGCACTTGTGACCTTATTTCAAAACAAGGACTTTAAAGATGATCTAGTTAAGATGAGGCCTTCAGAGTGGACCCTAAGCCAGTATTGTTGTATTGTTAGAAAAAGGGAAAATCTGGGCACAGACACAGACCTGTGCGTAAGAAAGGGCCGTGTGGACATGAAGGCTGAGATTTGATTGTGCACACCAAAGAACACCAAAGATTGCAGCAAACCACAGAAACCCGGTGAGTGGTGGATGATTCTTCCTTTTAGCCTTCAGAAGAAGCTACCTACTCCAACAAGGCAAAACCTCCAAATAGTGTCATTCCCTTTGGAGGCCATTTTCTTTTAAACCACCACACCATGGGCTAATAAAGTTCTGTGTTTGAGCCGTTGATGGACCTTTGTCCTGACAGCCCTGGGGAGCTCCTAGCTGTGGGCACATTGACTCATATGATTCCTCACTGTCCTTACTGGTTGATTCCTGAGTGGCCAGCGCAATATAGCAATCAGATGGAAACGTCTTACCTTTCTTTGCTTTGCTGGGGAAAGCTAAGATGAATAATAGACAAACAAGTATGCCCTGTGCCATGTGGTGAAAGATGGGATGGGGAGAAGGGGGCGGGGTGGGCAGCATGGAGTCACTGCGCTATGTAGATGTGATGGTATTTGGTTTCTCTTCTAGTTTCATACTGTTGACATAAAAAAACAAAACAAAGCTCTAACTTGAGGACAAAACCGTTTACTTGGCTTATTATTTCAAATCTCAGTAACTTATTGAGGGAAGTCAGGGAAGGGATTCTTCTTGCTGACTTGCTTTTCTATGCGCTCCTAGGCACATTCTTATCTAGATTTCTCATATAGCCTGCCTAGGGATGCTCACAGTCGGCTGGGTCCTCCTACATCAATTAACAACTGAGTCCTAGAGACATGCTTACAGGCCATTTTGATAGAGGCAATTCCTCAGTCGAGGTTTCCTCTTCTAGTGTGAGTCTATGTTGTTTCAAGTTGACAGTAAAAACTAATGAGCACAATCGTCAACTTCACAGGATCTAGAATCATGTAAGAAATAACCCTCTGGGCGTGTCTGTGAGAGAGTTCCTAGGCTGAGTTCAGGGAAAATCTACCCTAAGTGTGGGTGGCACCATTGTGCAGGCCGGGGTCCTGGACTGAAAACAGAGGAGAAAGGGAGCTAAGAATCTCTCTCTCTGTCTCTCTGTCTCTGTCTCTGTCTCTCCTTCCTGACCATGGATGCAATGGAGTCCAGATGCCCCACACTCCTGCTGCCACAAGTTCTCTACAGTGATGGGTTCTACCCTTCTTTAAGTTGCTTTCAGGAAGTGTTTTTGTTGCAGCAACAGGAAGCACAACTAACACTGTAGAGGCTGAAGCACACATGTAGCAAGAGCATTGCACTTTCCCTACATGTTGCATGAAGGCAGACTCCCGGCACACTCACCATGCCAGGACTTAGAAATCCACTTTGTGTGTGCTGAAGCTTAGCCACATTGAGGTCCTGGCCAAAGGTTATACAAATAGTGAGGGAAGCCACTGGGTTTAACCCAGGATGTCTACAGACTCATGGTTTATTTTGTACTAAGATGTGGTATTGCTGGTTGACATAATGAGCCCATGGTTTGCAGGTCTGTTCATATATGATAGCAAGAGTTTTCTGTTCATTGTGTTTCTACCGTCTTCAGTCTGTCCTGCTCAGGGTCTAGCCTCAGTTAGGTAGATGGAAAGCAGACATCATCCATTTCTCAGCAGTCTAGTTTCTAACATGAACATATGTCAAGTGATCTTATGACTCTGGCAATTATTGACATATTTTATTTGAGAAAGGGTCTTATACTGTAGCCCAGGATGACCTCAAGCTCGTGGCAAATCTCATGACTTAGCCTTCCCAGTTCTGAGGTTCCCAAGGTGAACCACCCTGGCAACCAGTCATTGACATCTTGACTGAAACATTGAAGAGGTGCTTATTTAGTCCCTAGGGTGTGTCCAACCTGTGACCTGTGGGCCACATGCATCCCGGGACAGTTATAAACACACATTGGTATACCTTTATAGATCACATGCCACAATGTCAAAAAGCTGGGTACTGTTATAGCTATGTGATGCCATATTAAGGAAGCCAGCGTGATCCTATCAAATGGGAAGCTCAATTCTAGGCTCCCAGTGAGAGTAAAGACCAGAGAATGGCAGTCATAGAAGTCATTATATCGTTTGCTAACCTCTGTCAGTGTTTGAAGAAGCCTGGGGAGCCACGGGGTCTTTATATCAGTCTTCAATACTATATCTTGGTACAAAATAAAGCCCAAAACATCCAGGGTGGGTGTGGTTATCTTTTTTTGCACTCTGAGCATATAAAATACTTCTTGTGTTGCAAGTAGCATTTTCCCTTGATCCTAAAAAGGAAAGGATTCAAATATTAGTATTTGATTTCAGATGATAAAAATAAAAAATCATTAATATGATATATACAAAAAATAATATGCAATGAAAAGGGCAAAGAAATGATGGAACTTGGCCTCCTATGACAAGCTCTCCTGAGAGGAGCCTGCAGATAGTTGTCTGTGCCCATGCAACAGTCAAGGAGAGCAGATTTAGTTGAAGTACTGTGGCCAATCAGAAGACAGAATTTCTTTCTTGATGATGCCATCGGGCGTATGATGAGGCATTCCAGGGGCCGTTGCCTCTGGAAAGGCAAGATGAGTAGCAAGAAGTTGTTAATCTTTTGCAGGTGTGAGGAAGCCTCAGCTAGTGGGTCTCAGGCCTGCCTGCCATGCTGTTTATAGCTTGGGAGGAGAGTATAGTGGGTTGCAAAAGGGGAGGTCACTATGGTATGCTGCAATCTCCACAGCCCTCCACATGGTTCATCATGCTCGCTTCTCCCCACCAGCCCTGGGATCTTTACCCTCAGAACCATCTTACTGACCCTTCCCATTTTTTAAAACAACCCTAAAATTATGTACAATCCAGTTTCTATGTCAATGCACGTGAATTGAGTCTCTTTCCCTCCTCCCACCCCTTCCCTAGCCTCTACAGATGTAGAAATAGACATCACAGCGTTGTGGTTTAAAAGCATGAGAGGGTGGGGCTATGGGTTAACCTTCTGTGGTTGGCTTTCTGGTTCTACCACAGCTTTGTGAGCTCGGGTGGTTTATTTGATCTTGATTTCCCTCACTTGTAAAATGGACATCATAATAGCCCCCTTTCTCCTAGGGTAGCTGTGATGACTTAATGGTGGTAGCCCAATGATTTAACCCTGCATGGACCTCAGCACCTGTTTTCTGGGTGTATCGAGTGTCTGGGGTTTTTGAGTTATTCTTGGATGTGTTATCCCTCCCAGCCCCAGGAGGTGAAGCTGGTTCAGTAAGGCCACCAGAACTAGGTTCGCCCTTGCATATCATGCTTTTTCTGAGTCCTGGCTTCTCTAAGGTAGACACTCCGCTGACTGTATTCGCTCAAGGTCATTATGTATCGCTGAGGAAGTTGTGGGCCTCTCGAAGGTCTTCAGGAGCCTGTGAAAGTGGAGTCCTTGTTGGTGTCCCGATGTTAGTCCATTTCTCACAGCTTGGTGAGGAAGAGGCCCCGCATCAGTCCCCTGAATCATTGCTGTCTTCAAGGCTGAACATGAAGGTTCTTTAGGCAGCATAGAGTCCTATTTCATTCATAATTCCAGAGTCTGCTTTATTTATGCTTTCCGTATCTTCTCTCTATAGAAGGGGGGCTTGGAGGCCTCTTCTCTGGAATGTAAGTCTTCCCATCTTTCCTATGGGAGCCCAGAGAACTAACAAATCCACAAGGACATTTCCACAGAATCATCGGTGGGCATGTCTCCCTTTACACAGAAAGATGATTCTAATGTCACTTAAACTTGTTGGAATACTTTGTTCTCTCTCTGGTAAAGATTCTGCCATTTTCTCAAATGTCATAACAAACAAATGCTGATCATAATATTCTCTAGTAGTCTAGGAAGAAAAACCTTGTGAGAAAATTATCAAAGAAACAGAAATCTTATTGGTCTCCATAGAGTTTCATGATTTTTTTTTTATGGAGGAGTCAGGGGAAAATATAAATAAAAATATTTTCAATATATTTGGGAGATTATGACTGACTGTTGTATAGTTGTGGGGAACAGAAATTCTCTACTGAACTTTACTGAGAAAATCTGTAATATTTTTGCTATTTTTTGGGATGGCATCTGACACATTTTACTTTATTTTGCTCAACAGAATGAGTGAGTAAACCTCTTACCAGACTACCTCTGATATAGGTTTTATTTG